TCAATCAGTCAAACGTTATATATAAAGCGCTTTCATACAAAAAATGCAACACAAAGTGCTTTACAATTTAGTTAAAACCATCCAATATGCCCAGCCCTAAACCCCACCGCCCCACAGACCCACCCAATGTATTAGTAAATATACACTCATATGCGTATACACATACATACATACATACATACACACACACACACACGCACACACACACAGTGTATCCAGCTGAAGAAGCGCCACCCAAGGAGCCATCTGCACCCGGAGCAGAGAGCCGCTTGCAGTCACAGGGGACGACACCAGAGGAGAGAGGAGGCCCCAGACCCACCAGGTCCAGGAGTCAGACCCCCATAGGACCCAGAGGAGGAAGGAGGCCCCGGACCCCCACTAGATCCAAGAGCCAGACCTCCGCAGCCACAGCAGACCTCAGCAGACCTCAGCTCCCAGTGCAGTGCTCCTTGTTGCCCCATGACTGCTGTTTCTCTGTGGCCATGTTGTCCTGTTGCTATGACCTTTGACCTCCCTGTTTCCATGTGAAACATGAAAACTAAAATATACAACTTCATTTGATGAATCCAAGTAACTTAATTCAGTCAATGACTGTATGAACCTGTGCCCATAGCGGCTTTTTAAAATAGATTTATATTATATTTTGAGTGCTTCACCCGTTGTTATACCACACAAACACACAACAGTCAAATAGAACTCCTGCTCACCAGCACCGGGTGAGTACAACGGTGCAAACACTGCTCCCTGTCCGTCTGGCAGTGCATTACCAGTCCAAACACTGAACTGTGCTGACTCCCTTCTGACTCTGGGAGCTAAAGAACAACAACAAGGGTTTTCACATTTTAGGCCAATTGAGACTGTGTGTGTTCCTCGCACCAGCTCAAAAATGTTTTTAAATTCTAAAAAACGAAATCAAAACAGGACAGCAGTTAGACGGTCCAACTCTGCAAATCTAATTTCTGTTCCCTGTAGAAATCAATCAACCACATTAATCGACTCTGACGTTATTTTTAAACTTGCTATGCTTAATGTCAGATCTCTATGTAACAAATCATTTTTAATTAATAATTTTATCACTTCTTATGATCTTGATTTTATGCTTATGGCTGAAACATGGCTGGACCAAAATACAGGAAATGCAGTTCTAATAGAAGCAACACCACCCAATTTTAAATTCGAATCCGAAATACGAGAAAACAAAAGGGGGGGAGGCATAGCTGCAGTTTTTAGAGAGCACTTTGTCTCCCATAGAATGCCCCTTGGAAATTTTTCATCGTTTGAGTATATTTCTTTTAAAATGGAACAAAAGCAATCTTCTACTCTTTTCATTGTCCTGTACAGGCCACCACAGTCATGTTGCGATTTTATTGACCATTTTACTGAACTACTTTCATTTGTGTGCACAGATTTTGATAGTTTAGTTATTACAGGGGATTTTAATGTACATGTTGATAATGTTGATGACAGAAATGCAAAGGAGCTGGCTTCTGTATTTGAGACCTTTGGTTTCATTCAGCACGTGAGTGGCCCCACCCACAGCAGGGGGCACACTCTTGACCTGCTAATTACAAAGGGGGTTAATGTATCAAATGTTAATGTAGTTGATGTTGCTTTGTCAGATCATTTCTGTGTATTTTTTGACATGTGTTTTGCTAGCAAACCACCAGCTGAATTTACAATTGTTAGAAGAAGACACATACATGAAAACACAAGTGAACTGTTCATGGGAATGCTAAATTTTGAGAAAACTCCATGCTCTACTGTTGATGAATTGTATAACTCTGTCACCACCAGTGTTCTGACTGTTCTGGACGCCATTGCTCCTGTGACGGTTAAAATAGTTACCAGTAAGAAAAAGGCCCAATGGACTAAGGCAGACTCGGTCAGGGCACAGAAGCAAGAGTGCCGGAGGGCCGAACGGAAGTGGCGAAAGTCCAATTTCCAGGGCGATTATGAAATCTTTAAAGATGAGTTGGGTGAATTTAACCGGGTTCTACGTAGAACAAGAGAAATGTATTTTTCTGACATTATTGGAGGTTGCAGTAACAATTTTTGTGTTATGTTTTCAACAGTTGGTAGATTAACAAACCCCCCTGTAAAGTTCCCTCTTGAATTTTCCTCTAAATCTAGGTGTAATGAGTTCGCACAGTTTTTCGATGACAAAGTACAAGGAATCAAAAAACACTATCACCTCCACAGCACGTATAACAATGCAACAGCCTGAGAAGCTTTTTGAGCTAACTCACTTTGCACCTGTGGATACTGAAACTGTCAAAAAGATAATCATGAGTCTGAGCTCCTCCACATGTAGCCTGGATATATTGCCCTCTAAATTTCTGAAGTCCGTCCTGAGCAGTTTGTTACCTTCACTGACACAAATAGTAAACATGTCTCTGTCGTCAGGAACATTTCCTATGGCCCTAAAAACAGCAGTCATAAGACCTCTCCAAAAAAAGAGGAGTCTGGATCCTGCGGGACTTCAAAATTATCGCCCCATATCGAATCTGCCATTCATTGGAAAAATTCTTGAAAAAGTGGCCTCCCAACAACTTACTGAATTTTTAACAATGAATAATTCTTTTGATATGTTCCAGTCTGGGTTTAGACCCCACCACAGCACTGAGACCGCTCTAGTGAAGGTAACAAACGACATTCGACTTCACACTGATGCCGGTAAAGTCACAGTTTTGGTCATGTTAGATATTAGTGCCTCGTTCGACACTGTCGACCATGAGATCCTCATGCAGAGACTGGAGGACTGGGTTGGTGTCACTGGCACAGCCCTAGACTGGTTTAGGTCTTACCTGGAGGATAGGAAGTACTTTGTGGAGATTGGAGACTGCGTCTCAGATCATGTGGCCCTGACCTGTGGAGTACCACAGGGGTCGATCCTGGGACCTCTCCTATTTAATCTCTACATGCTGCCGTTAGGTCAGTTAATACAAAGAAACAAAGTGTCCTACCACAATTACGCCGACGACACTCAGATCTATGTCTCACTGACTGCAGGAGAACATGGACCACTGGATTTGCTCCTTCACTGTATCCAACAGATCAGTGACTGGGTTAGGGCAGACAAAACCGAAATCATTGTCTTTGGTCCCCAGTAACAAAGAGAGGGCGTCATTTGTCAACTTCAGTCTCTCTTCCTACTTCCTTCAGACAAGGTCAGAAATTTGGGGGTAATACTGGACTCAGACCTAAATTTCAATAGCCACATAAAATCAATAACATCAACAGCTTTTTACCATCTGAAGAACATTGCCAAAGTTAGAAATATAGTGTCCAGGGCAGACTTGGAGATTCTTGTCCATGCATTTGTCTCCAGCAGGCTAGACTACTGCAATGGCCTGCTTACAGGTCTGTCCAAACAGACCTGTAAGCAGCTGCAGTACATCCAAAATGCAGCAGCTAGAGTCCTGACAGGAACCAGGAAGTATGACCATATTAGTCCGGTCCTCAGGTCTCTGCACTGGCTTCCTGTGGCTCAGAGAATAGATTTTAAAACAGCTCTGCTTGTGTACAAGTCTCTCCATGGCCTTGCACCAAAATACATTAGTGACATGTTGGTGTCATATGAACCAGCCCGGACTCTGAGGAGCACAGGGACTGGCCTCCTGCTGGTGCCCAGAGTGAGAACCAAACATGGGGAGGCTGCGTTTCAGATCCATGCAGCTAAGATCTGGAACAATCTCCCTGAAAATGTGAGGGAGGCGTCTACTCAGTCAATGTTCAAATCCAGGTTAAAGACTGTTCTGTTTGCCTGTGCATACAACTGAAGGATTTTATCTCCATTTCTAATGCACTGTTGTCATTTATTTATTTATTTTTTTTAATTTCTTGTGTAATTTTGAAAGTTTTAATGGTTTTATTCTTTTGTGTGATTTTAATGTTTTAATTGTGTTTTAATCTTTTGTGTGATTTTAATGTTTTAATTGTGTTTTAATCTTTTGTGTGATTTTAATGTTTTAATTGTGATTCTGGTGTTTGTTTTATGTGATGATTTGTGATGTGGACTGTGAAGCGCTTTGTGTTGCCCTGTGTATGAAAGGCGCTCTACAAATAAACTTTGATTGATTGATTGATTGATAACATAACATTTCACTTGCAAATAACTGGAACAAACCAGAGTTTTAAACCTAAACATGACATTATTTTCTACCAAAACTAAAACTAAATCACACAGTACAAAGTCTGTTCTCTTCTGGGGCTCCTTTGCACCGGCCTACTTCTGCTGCTGCTCTGGGCTGAGCACGGGCCGCAGTCATCTCTCACCATTATCATTTACATGGCTCAGTGAGAGGCTTTTGTGGTACGGTTCAGTTTTAAAGATCCTCACATGTTTTCCACAGTAATTGTTCAAATATATAGATTTTTAGCAGTGTTGGTCAGTAATGTTATAAAAGTAGCGCGTTGCAAGTAATCCAATTACTTTTTCTGAGAAACGAGTAAAGCAATGGATCCGCAAAAAAGTTATGTTATCATTGCATATACTTAGTTTCTTCAAAGCAAGCAGCGTTACAATGCGTTACAAAACCGTGAGTTACTTGGTTGTGACTGTTGTTGTCATATGACATATGAGAGGTGTGATCATGTGACGTGATAAACAGACACACATCAAATATTACAAGTGGCAACCATGGATCTATTATAATATATGGATAGGGTATTGCTAGCTTATACCCATGGTACTGCACACTAAATTCACACGGGCTACCCAGAAAAAAGTCCCATAGAACTCAATGTAAATTAAAACAGCGCAACCTCAGCTGACAGAGAACCTACAGCTTTCATAAAGGTCGTATTTTGTGGGGATTTTAGTGTCATCCTGAACTTTTTTTCTTGTAATTTTTCAGTTTTCTATGAATCCACACTTTAGTGCAACAAACTCCTTTGTCTCCCGCTCTAACTCCACTCTAGCTCCTCTCTTCTGAAAGTACAGCTCTGTTTAGAGCTGCATCTCATTCTGGAGCCTCAAAGCCCTAACTCCTGCAGCATAAATGACGATAAGTAAAGCGCGCCTCACGTTCGGGGTCAGAGCAATTTGGAGCCAGTCAATTTTGATCAAACCTAAAGGAGAATTTGACATTTTTGAACAGAGTAAGATGCATCACAGTAGTTTGCTTTTGTTTTCAATTATTATGGGGAAATAATAGAACCTTTTGATTTTGTTAAATAAAACCTTACACTTATCTAAACAGAATGAGACTGAATTCCACTGGAGCAATCTGATGAGTAATACGTTTCACTTCTGTCTCTTTCGTCTGAAATGTCCCAGATGAATATCAAAGTTTAAATTGCTAAAGTCTTCAGAAGTTTTGGGCTTCCTTAAATGCTGCATTAACAACCAAGTTTTATAGAGCAATAGTAAATTTAAAATAAATCATTGTTTCACTAAGGACATGCTCCGTGCATCAATTCAAAGTGGCTCTTGCAAAACTATCAAATCCTCAAAACCATCATCCGTAGCTTAAGGGAAATAACAAAGACATACTATCATGACTGCTTCGCACGTCTGGAGAAAACAGCAGAATAAAATTGTGAATCTATGAAGAATACAAGGCTTGGGCACCTATTTTCGCCCAGGATTTTAACTCACTGAAAGCATAAACCGATCCACTTCGCCCTGATTAATCTCTGTAGAATGCAACCAAAGATTCACCTGGATGGACCAACGGCTGCAAAGACGGCTGCTACTCGAGGGAGACCACACAATTTACTGTTTCCAAGTCATTCCATACTCCCCTCAGCCAGAATTCACCAAACCCTAACCCTATTGCATTGTTTTTAATGGAAATGTCCCTCCAGCACCAGGCCACACCCCCATCGGCCTGACCACGCCTGACCTGACCACGCCCAACCTGACCACGCCTGACCTGACCACGCCCTACCTGACCACGCCCTACCTGACCACGCCTGACCTGACCACGTCTGACCTGACCACGCCCACCTGACCACGCCTGACCTGACCACGCCCTACTTGACCACGCCCTACCTGACCACGCCCTACCTGACCACGCCCTACCTGACCACGCCTGACCTGACCACGTCTGACCTGACCACGCCCAACCTGACCACGCCCTACCTGACCACGCCCTACCTGACCACGCCTGACCTGACCACGCCCTACCTGACCACGCCTGACCTGACCACGCCCTACCTGACCACGCCCTACCTGACCACGCCTGACCTGACCACGCCCTACCTGACCACGTCCGACCTGACCACGTCTGACCTGACCACGTCCGACCTGACCACGTCTGACCTGACCACGCCCTACCTGACCACGCCCTACCTGACCACGTCTGACCTGACCACGTCTGACCTGACCACGCCTGACCTGACTACGCCATTGTCTCTGTGTCCTTAGGCAAGTCACTTTACCCACATTATCTAGAATGAGTCTGGTGTGTGTGTGAATGGCTGGAGGGGGTCGGAGGGGCCGTTGACACAAACTGGTTGCCTCACTTCTGTCAGGGTGCCCCAGGGCAGCTGTGGCTACTGTAGTAGTTTATCACCACCATCTTTGAAGTGGATGAATAATGACACGTGAAGCGTCTTTGAGTGTCTAAAAAAGCACTGTACAGAATAAGAAAAGGATGCATTAACAAAAAGTCTAAAGCAAAAATACAAGATTTAATAAACACAAATGAAAATAATCCCTTACTCCAAATTGAACTCCAAAATCAAACTATGAACAGGGACAAAAACACAATAGACCAACAAACAGAAGAGAGGAGCACCCAGGTTTAGATACACACATGGAGACTCAGGTGAAACATTTGAGGGTGGGGCAAGCAATCTACTGAACAGACAGGAAGTATAACTCCAAATATATCAAAATAGGTAAAGATTGAGATGAGGGGTAAAAGCAATCAATAAGTCCACACCATGACACACCATGTGAAATGAAAAGGTACAGTATAGTGTGGCCTGATACCTCTTGGACATGTGTGTGTTTGTATGCATTATGATCATCTCCTGTGAAACAATTCAAACAAAATAGTCTGTTCTCCAATCTGCGAATAGTGAGTGTTATAATTAATATCAAACCAATCATATAGTCTTGTAAAAGTGCGTCCGTCTGAGTCTATATCCTGTGGGTTCATATCATCCAGCAGATTACAGAATTAGAATCTGAGCCCATTGTGCCAAGAGCTGAGCTGAAGGATGAGATGGCCACTGTGAGCGGAGTGCGGCTGATTGTGAAGTCCCTCTGAATTAAAGAACAGCGTACTAAAAAAAGAATTATAATCTGGACTCAAGTTTGGTCCCTTATTATTGTGCCATGATAAAAAGTGACACCAGTTGTACAGAGGAGGGGTTTACAGAGAGTGCATGTCGAGAGGTGCTTCCACTGCTTATATTATTATGTTAGTGGAATCAGGTCACTTATGAATACATTCACATATACTTTCTTTTAGACTTAATGATTTCTGTTCTTTTTGACCGGAATCATTCAAATGTGAAAGGACAATTGTATTTGTATTTATTTGTTTATTTGGATGGGACAGTGTGTATTAATGATCACATTGTCCCAGTGGCTACAGTCTGGTGTTTTTACAGTAGCAGCTGTAAAAAAAAAAAAAAACACCAGACTGTAGCCATGAAGCTAATTTCAGATTCAGATTTATTTCATTTGCCATTTGCAGTAAAACCACATTGGAATAAGTTTGCAAAGAAGTAGCCTGGTCGTACCACAGCTTCGTACAAATTACATTTCACTAAGGTCTAGCTTTACTCTATTGAGCTCCGTTCACAGGTGGGAGGGTTAACTCCTTTTGATTGAAACGATTGAATCTGAGTTTATGTAATGCACCCGAGTAACTCGTTAGCATTTAGCATTTAAGGAAATTGCTAGCCTAATAGCAATTTCCTTTGCCATTAACGGAGCCCGTGGGGGGTAGGGCCACAATCTTTGCCAGCAATTACTTTTGCTAAACATTCCTTTTGCTCCGGCTTCAAATTCTTGATAGAACCAGACCGGAATACATTACTATGCATTCTTCGCCATTGCCAAACCACAACTGGCTAATTCGGCACAAACTCTTGATGTCACCCACATACACAACACCCGCTTCCCGCGCTCCCTAATCGGTCGGATAGGATTCAACCGATGTAACCGCAGACACAGGGACCAGACCCAGACGTTACATGCAGGGAAATGATAATTGACCGCAGTTTACGGATGGCTAAGGCCAGGCTAGTACAGAAGCAGAAGTACAGAAATAAGACAAACTAAAAAAGTGCTAGAAACAATCGTCACTTTTTAATCTGATAACAGCTTGTGGAAAAAATAGCGGGGCTCTCCTTTCTTTGGCTGTGGTGTTACCAAACCACACAGTCACAGACCACAAACTTTCAATGGTGATAAAGGTTATGCAGGATCTTAGAGTTTGTGGTAAATTCTCCGAGTTTTCGCAGTCAGTAGAGACGCTGGCGAGCTTTCTTAACAACCTGGTTAGTGTTTTTGTCCCATTTGACCTGTAGTCACACAGTCACACTCACAAACACACATTGATCCCGTTCATGTTTTTAGTTTTTAGAGATAGGGGAAACCAGAGTACCCAGTGTGGACACAGGGAGAACATGCTAACCCCACACACACTGTTTGGAGGTGGAATAGAACCCAGGACCTTCTTGCTGCCACCACTGTTGACAGATACGTTCATAAAACACATTCTTACACAAATGGTGACTCTCTGTTTACTTTTGAAAGCCTCAAGCTGAAAACACAGACATTGAACGATACAAATATTGTGTTATTCGTACCAGATTGTTTCCGCTAACTACCAACTTGCCACATAATATTGACAGCTATCACACGCTTAAACATTGCCATCACTTTTTGAAGCTATTCTGAGAGGGAAAAATATATCAATCAAATGACAGTTTGGGCTGACAGAGAAGACATTGAAATGTGTGGCAGTCGCCGCTGGTGCAGTTTCAGGGCGGCACACACACATGGATGTTTGTACTCCTACTATACTATAAATGAGATAGTACACTGCTTCTCAAACTATGGAACATGTACCGCAGGTGGTGTTTGGGCTCCTCTGGTGATACACAGATTCTGCAGTTCATTTTTTTGATTATCCATCCATCCATTTTCTTCCCCTTAATCCATTTCTGGTTCGGGGGGTGGCAGTCAGAGCTGCACCCAGTACACATGGCACCAGCCCCTCACTGATCCTCCTGCAGGTGGTGAGTCCACAGGAGCTGAGATCTTTCAGTTGGGGCTTTGGGCAAAGTAGGGTTAAGTGTCTTGCCCAAGGACACAACGACAGCAGTCATCAGTGGGAGTCATGAAGTAGGTCTTGCGGTGGGCTCGAACCCACGACCTTCAGGCCCAAAGGCCAATGCTCTACCAACTGAGCTACTGTCGCTACTGTTTTGATTAAGTTAGAATAATTGTATCTCTAATGATTGTATTCCTTTGGTTTCATCTTTGAACTACTACAAAATGTCAGGACTCTAGTCAGATCCAGATGTGTTGAGTATCAATCAATCAATTCATATTTTTTTATTTGTAGAGCGCCTTTCCTAGGGCTACAGAAAGCACTTGGGTGACCTTGGTCTGTAAAAATGCGCTATATAGTTAAAGATTTCTGACTTACTTACTTTACGGTCCACATCACACAAGGCATGAATTATCACATAAAACAAACACCAAAATCCCAATTAAAAACACAATTAAAGTCACACAGGTAATTCAAAACAAAAATCACGCAAGTTATTAAAACCATTAAATAATAATTAATAACCACAGTGCATTGAAAATAGGGATAAATCCTTCATTTGTCTGCAAAGGCAAACAGAACCGTCTTCAACCTGGACTTGATAATTGTCACGGAAGACGCCTCTCTCACATTTTCAGGGAGACTGTTTCAGATTTTATATGTTCTCAGGCTTGTTTTTGGAATTAAAGAAGACATGACATGCTTCAGTCAACTGTACAAGTAAAACTCAGGAAAGTACAATATTGTTCATGTATTTAGAATATTTATTATGGTATAACGACCTAAAAAAAATCACATTCACCTAAAAATAACTAAGTCTGTCACACAATAGTCTCACATTTGAAGTTGATTTACAAAACCTAATTCTAATTTTCCGAGTTTTGTCACAAATAACTGTTGCTAGAAAACAATGAACCTCAGTTTTCAGCAGAACTATGCCAACACTACTCATGCTTGTGTGTAGCTCTGCACAGACGTGTTGCTAGGATGGTTCTTTATATAGATTTACAAAGACAATATCCAAATTTAAATACAGGGATCATAGAGAGTGCTAAACTACAGATTTGTTTAGTTCTAAAATGGCGAGTGTGACACAAACAGTTACTGAGCTTGAGGAGTTTACTTTTCAATGTCAGAGTCCATCGGAGCCAGAGAGAGTTGGAGCAAAACTTTTTCCATGAGAACTTTCCTATTGGGCTACATGGAGCTAGCGGGTTAGCATTGTCCGTCTATATACAGTCTATGTTTATGACCAGGAGGATTTCTGATGAATGAACAGCGGTTATTGTGGTCTTCATGCTTTCGCGATTTGATTTGAGCACCTGTAAAATTGACATATGAATGAATGAAAGTTGCATACCACAGCTTGGGTCTGGTCTCATCTTGGTGGTCTTGACTTTGTTCCCGGAGATGCAGGACCAGCCGGTGAGGTCAGGCAGAACTCGGCACTCCTCCCCTTCCAGACACGGCTCCATTCTACACCACAACTTCTGACGGACAATGGACGCTGCGGCGGACAACACACGACATCACAAGGTCACTCTGGACACAAGAGCCTCTCCAAACAGCTGAAGTCCCTCATCTTGGGCGGCACGGTGGCTGAGTGGATAGCACTCTCGCCTCTCAGCAAGAAGGTCCTGGGTTCGAATCCCGGCCGGACCAGGGCCTTTCTGAGTGGAGTTTGCATGTTCTCCCCGTGTCTGCGTAGGTTTCCT